AATTTATATTCTATATCGTACTCTCTGAGATTAGAAGCCGCGCGACACCTTCGCCGTGTTTCCTGCTGCCGCGGCAACGAGACGCCCGCTCTGCTGCCTGCTTAAGGAGTCAAATGTAGTCGGCATTAAAGGGGCGGGCAGTCAGTGCCGTTGCCGGGGCCGCGCCAGCTGCCTATCCCGGGGGCAGTGACCACGCACCGATCTCTCCGTCAACGCCAACGGTGTTTTCTTGCAGTTGCAAATGATCTGGGATTATTTTGCTTTGCAAGGTTTTGACTGCGTTTCCAACGACGCCGTCTCTTTCCCCCACCTGCGGCGCTCGCTTCCTTATCAGATGGTAATCAGTGCGTCGCCTCTCTCTTTCCCTCCTGTCGAGTATCCTCCTGCATTGCCGAGATCTAAAAGGAGCTTGCGGGAAGAGAGAGTATGAAGAGCGATCCAAGATAAAACTGTTGCGAAATGTTGTTCGTAAAGGAAAAAAAACTTTGTCACTATGCAAAATAGTTGAAGGTTATACGGGAAGCGTGTGTCATAAAATTACAATTGAAAATTGTTAAATTATAGCTACAACGTATCGACTTGAAATTTATCGACGAGCAAAACTGAACTGCATATTTTGTAAATTTTAAATACAAAATATTCCGTAAATTACGACGGTACTTTAACAGAGCGCACCCTCACAAAGCAAAAGATAACAGTTTGCAAAAACAAACCAAACAGTTTCTTAATGGACCTGCTTCGCAATGGCGGGGCGCTTTCAATGGTTCCGTAAAGTTTTGACAGTGACACCCATGGTCCGCGCCGACGACGCGAGGATGCGAGGACGCCGCTGTCGGTCCAAGCCAGGTTTGGCCGGCCGGAAGCGCCCGCAGTCCGTGGGGTAGGCAGGCCCGCCACACACCGGAGGGCGCGCGCTGCCGCCCGCCGGGCGCTCTCCCCGCGCCATCTCCACGGCGGCCGAGCGAAGCAGCGCTGGCAGGGCTGGGCGTGGTCGTGGGGTATGGCCTCTGGGCCCCGCCGGGGGGTAGCTGCAGGCGAGGGGTAGCTAGAGCCTGCAGGCGGCGCTCTCTCTCGATCTGATTGGCTTGCACGGCAGACACAACGAGGTGGTAACCTGACATACGGCTTCGCACCAAATATCACTGTTGCCCCCCCCCCCCCCCCCCCCCCCCCCCCCCCACCACGAGAAGAGAAAGAGGGGGGGGGGGGGGGTTCTAAAAGGTAGGCAATTTGTTTCACAAAAACCCGTGAATGTAGGCAGGCTGACCTAAATCCGCGACTGCGCCCCACCCCACCAAGCACTTTTTAAAGTCCTACAAAGCAAATTTCAAAGTAAATGCGTCGTAGTTATTACAAAGGATGTAATACTTCGCAGTTTTTGCAAAGTATTGCTTTGCATTTGACAGTGCGCCCCGCACGCGTACGTGCGGCTGGGAGCACCACATTCAGCGAATTGGCCCGGTTGATTAGATACCTCGGCGCGGATACAATTTATCACTTTCACCCCTCTATATTTCTAATCCCATTGTACACTCTGGATGACAGAGCGACTCTTGCTATGCGACAACAGCTACGAAGTGGGAAATAACAAACAGTGGAATATCGGCACCTGTTATTGCTAGTCGCCGTAAGGCTGGCGCCGCGTGGAGGTCGAGGGGCGGCCACTGGCCACTGGCCGGCCCAGGAGGCGCGAGCCGCACGCCACCGGGGGCGCGACGGGCGCGTGCGGGTCTGCCCTAGGCCTAGCGCGCGTTTCTTGACTGCCTCCCTAATACCACCCTCGGGCAGGTCGATGGAGAAGCCACCCCTGCTCGGGTCAAGACCAAGGTCCCCCATCCCATATACAATGCGGCACTCGCCATCCAGTACTAGTATACATGCCATTTTCGATACCTTCCTCCCGAGGGGGTTTTCACTTCTGAAATACCGTGTACACCAAATGAGGTATTTCACAGGTATTTCGAATGAAATACACCAAAATATGCCGAAATATGCTCCAAAACGGTGAACTTTTCCTGAGAAATACCGGCGAAATACCGGCAAAATACACGTATTACGAAATACCATGTACAACGAAATGTCGAGTGAAAACCCCCTCGCTTCCTCCTTCGAGAAAGGCTTCGCCGAGCGACCGCTGCAGAAAAGGGCTTGCCCGGCGGGAGGCTGCTAAGAAAGACTCAGTTAGATCTTAAAAGTGCAGCAACTGAGTCTCTTATCAGCCTCCCGCCGGCCAAACCTTTTTCTGCAGCGGTCGCTCGGCCAAGCCTTTCTTGCAGGAAGGTATCGTTTTACACAATCCCCAAGACTGTCTCTGCCGGAAAGAATCCATTTTAGGGGGAAATCCTAAAATTATCACCAGTTTGAATTCGGATAGATATCAGTTTGTATTTGGGTTGAATATAAATTGAGGATACTATAAAGATTTCCCGACAAAAGTAGAATTTTTAGTCATTTTGAGAAATTGGACTTACCTCCTATAACCAATGCATCTAATTGGACACGAACTTTTATCAGCAATTGTTTAGTATACAGTCAACAATGAAAACCCCAAAGTTTGAACCGATTCGGGAATTTACACTTGTATGACTCCCCTTGTAACTCTTCTTGGACTGGTTGCGCCGGTCGCACCAACTCTCCCTCCACCCCCACTGTCCACAGTGCGAGGGTGGGGCGAAAACCCGCCCTTGACGGAAAAGTCCCTTATTTGGCCTACAGACTTTGAGCCCTTCTAGGTTGTGGCAAAATGATGACGCCAGGTCGAAAAAGAGTCTTGTCCGGCACTCTAAATGGCAAAGGGCAACTTTCGTCTATCGACCTTCCCAGTGTGAGACGCATCTTGCAATGGACCAAACTTGTCCTTTGCCATTTAAAGTGTACGATCTTTGAAGCAGAACGCTCTCATCCTTTTAGGTACCTAGGCCCTCTTTCCCGTTCCCAGATGTTCAGATTTTCACTCCACCCATCAAATAACGCCTCGGGCCGAAGTCAATGCAAATGATGAATATATCATGGCGTGTCGACGCCCCGTCTGTTGCCGCCTCGCCTCGCTGACGACGCGGAGCTCCCTGTTTGCTCGCGGCCGGGCCGGGCCGGGGAGGAGCCAAGGTGTGCGACGAGCCAATTTATCACTCTTGGTGGCGCGGGGCGGGGTGGCGCGGGGCGGAGTAGTCAAACGGAAGTAGGCCACCCCTGGACACTCTACCCTCGCGGGACCCTTCGGCAGCCCGTCAGGTCGATATACAGCATACAGCGCCCCCTCGCAGCCCAGTTATTTTTTCCCCCTTGCTCGAGATGGTCACGGGAGATAAGTGATCGCCAAGAGTTCTGAATCGTTCCGAGGAAACTTCTTGGCGGCGCGAAGGATTTGGGCGGCGCCGACCCTCTCTGGCCTCCACCCGCCCGCAGTGCCGGGGGCCTCTGCTATGGCGGTGCGCGCGGCGCGCGGGGTGACTGGCCGACGACTAAACACAAGCGCTGCAGCCCAGGCGGAACACGCATCTGTGGCCCGGCGAGTTAATACCGGAGTAGGGTCGATATATATGTGTGAGGGAGGCCTATTACTATCCGGAATGGGGAAGCGAAATGGATGCCCCATCGCTATACCCAGCCCAGCGCGACCGACCACGGCGTAACAGTTTAGTCACTGAAGTCGTCGTTCTACGAAATTTTCTCCTGATGCCACCATCGAGATTGAAGAGGGACAGTTATTTTGTACCTGGCTTCAATGTGTCTTTGAGGACATCTACATCAAAGTCGAATGATCTGCCTCTTTGCCTGTCTCTAGGAAACTAACATTTTGCGCATAGCTTTCTTTGTCCGTAGCTTAGACACAGTTAGACACCGGTTTAGAAGTGCTCAAAGACACATCGAAGATCAAAACAAAGCCAGCACTGTGAAAAATATCCTCGTAAATTAACGATATATTTTGTTATTAATATGTACAAAATGTGTTGTAAATTAATGACACCCCAAACTCGCTTTGTGGATGAATTTCAAGTCAATACGTTGTGCTTGTAATTTTACAATTTTGAATTGTAGTTTGACGACACGCTGATGGAATTTTTTTTCCATAAAACTTAAAACTATTTTTCACAGTGAGGTACAAAATTTGTCCCTCTCTACTTATTGTGTAGCTTGATGGGGGGTGGAGTGTCCTACCTATAGTAAATGGAATGAGTGCAGCTCACCTGGTCTGTATCGTGGAGTGCCGGGGTGGCGGGTGCCGCGTGGGCCGAGGCTCGGCCCGCCGGCAGGCTGGACTCAACTGACTCCTCGCGCGGGTCGGGACGGGGCGGGCGGCGTCCAGTCAGGAGGGGCCACCCCTGCGATCCCCGCCCCTCCTCGCTCCGCCTCACCCCGCGTCTCTCCGGCTCGCACCATTTTCCCCCACTTCACGCCACCACCTGTTGGTAGATACCGGCAAACCGATGGTGATAGTCAATCATCAGAGAATTCGCAACAATGTCGTTCGCATGCCATCTGCCAAAATGTAGTCTAGTCTATGTCTTTCAAGTAGTATTATCTATGTACCTTACTCTTACTTGGTATTGGGGAAGTATTTTCTCTGATGACAAATTACAAAACCTTTAAGTGCAAACACTCTTAAAACAAAACAAAAAACAAATTATTTTTA